AAACCCCCCCCCCGGCACAAACGCAAGGAGCTAGTGTGAAAAGGCAAAACTTTATAGGAATAAAGTGTGTGTGACATTTCCCTGCCCCGAGGACCGGAGCTGGGGGGGGGGGGAGGTGCCCCTGGTGCTGGGGGTGAATAAACAGGTTTACAAGAGGGATTCACCCTGGGGCTGCTACCCCTCCCCCATCCCACCCACCACCAGAGAACCCAGGCGTCCTGGATTCCCCCCCAAGTCTTTTGGATCCTAGAGAATTTGGGGGTCATAAGAATGAATATTCTCCCCACCCCCAGCGAATGGTTTGGGCTGAGAGCGTCACCCTCAGCACTGAATGGGCTAGTCCTCTCCTGGGCAGACCCCCTTCCCCTCAGGAGGGAATGGTCAGGCCCATTAGCCCATCTCTCCCTCTCCCCCGCAGGAGGGAATGGAACAGTCCGTAGTATCCCTGTAATGCCAGGAAGGGTGTGGCTGTGCCAAGCGCCCTGCGAGCCCCCATGGCTCACCCCATGCAGCCGTGGGTCCCTGACCCCTCCCTAGGGGAGGCCGAGGGTCTGTGAGCCCCTGTGGCTCGGTCCATGGGTCCGTGGCCCCTCCCCAGGGCGTCCCGTGGCTCGGCCCCGCGCTCAGCCGCAGGCCCCGGCGCTGATCTCCTCGCTCTCCTCGTGGCTGTTCTGCAGCGTGCTCTTGCCGTGCAGCTCCTTGAGGTGGCGCCGCAGGCCCGGCTTGTGGGTGAAGTGCACGGCGCAGTAGTTGCAGCGGTGGGGCTTGCGGCCGCTGTGCAGGTTGAGGTGGTCCTGCAGCGTGGCGTTCTGCGTGAAGCACTTGCGGCACACGGGGCACTGGAAGGGCTTGAAGCCGGTGTGCACGCGCAGGTGCCGGGTCAGGTTGCTCTTCTGGGAGAAGACCTTGGCGCAGCGCAGACACAGGAACAGCTTGTGCTCCCGCACGTGGCTCACGAAGCCGGCCAGCTGCGGGAAGAGCCCGTCGCAGCGCGGGCACCGGTAGGGCCGCTCCAGCTCCGGCGCCTTCCTGCCCGCCCCCAGCCCCGCCGGCCTGTCCTTCCGGGCCGGCTCCAGGTGGCGCCGGCGCAGGGGGCAGCCCCGCCACGCCCCCCCCGGCTGGGCGGGGGTGGGGGGCCGGGGAAGGGGCCCCCCGGCGCCGCCTCGTCCTCGTAGCAGCCCTGCAAGTAGCTGCGGGTGATCTCCACGGCCGAGTTGAGGAGGGGTAGGGAGATCTCCGGGGACGGGGGGCTGCTGCGGGAGCGGCACGCCAGGAAATCCCTGGCCCCCTCCGCCCCGTCCTGCTGCCGTGCGGGCAGGGGGCTGGAGGAGGCCCCCTCCTCCTCCGCCCCCTCCCTCACGCCTGGCGCCGCCTCGGCCTTGGGCACCAGGTAGCGGGAGACGGCCTGGGTGCAGCGCTCCACCACGTGGCCCATCTGCAGGAAGGAGGCGGCCGTCAGGTAGTTGACCAGCTCGGGCAGCGGCACCTCGAGGCTGCCGGTGTAGCAGGAGAGCAGCAGCTGGCGGCCGATCTCGGGGCTCTGCAGGAGCGAGACGGACACCTCGGGCGAGTCGCTGAGCAGGAACTGGTCCCGCAGGAAGGGGGAGCAGGCGGCGAAGACCACGCGGTGCCCCGGCACCCGCAGCTCGTTCACCTGCACCGTCACGTCGCAGAACCGCCGCTGCGCCCGCAGCTGGTCCATGCGCCGCAGCACCCCGTCCCCGTAGCTGGGGAAGCGGAAGTGCAGGCGCTCGCCGGCCGGGGCCATCCTGGCACAGCTGGGGAGAGATGGGGGTCAGACACCCCACAGCACAGATCCAGGGGGGGCGGGAGTGGGTGACGGGGGCTGGTTATTTTGGGGTTTTATGGGGTGGGTGGGGGAGGGGTATTGTGGGGGGAGGGGTGTTGTGATGGGGAGGGAAAGGGCAGGGAATTATAGGGTGGGGAGGGGTGTCATTACAGTGGTTGGGGGAGTATTATGGGGTGGGGGGTGTGGTGGGGAGGGGCGGGGTACTATGGGGTGGGTGGGGGAGGGGCGGGGTACTAGATTCCTCGGGTCTCTGCCCCGCTCTCACCCTGGGAGCCCCCCGCCCGGTGTTATTCCCGACCCGTCTTTACGCCATTTGCGTAGCCACCTCCAGTCGCGGCGGCGGCCGCTCTTCCACGCCCGCGTACTTCGCGCTCCGCCGTTTGCGCAGCGGCCCGGCTGTTCTACGCAACGTGCGCAGCCGTCCCCGCACCTGTCAGCTGGTCACGTGGCGCTGCAGCCGGCGCCCCTTACGCCAGTTGCGTAAAGTCAGCGCTTGCTTACGGTGTTTGCGCAGCGCCTTTCCTAACAGCTATTCCCGAACAAGGCTTACGCGCTTGACGTAGCGCAGCGCGCGTCTCCCCGGCGCTACTACGTACTTTGCGTAATCCCTGCCCCTCTCCCCTCCGCGTCCCCGCCCTCACCTGGGCCGCCTCCCGTCCCGGCTCCGGGGCCGCCTCGGCCTCGCCCCGCCCCGCGGGCCCCGCGCGCCGCTCACCGGCCCCGCCCGGCCGCCGCGCGCCGCGCCAGCGCCGCCATCTTGGCCCGTCTGCGGCCGCCGGCCGGGCCTTCTTCCCGCGGATCCCTCCGCCCAGCCCCCCGCCGGGCAGGGGCTGCGCGCGCGGGATCCCTGCGAGGGGAGGAGAAATAGTCCCACCCCATAACCCGCTTCTCCCAGGCTCTGCCCACATCCCATAATAACCCGCCTCATCCCTACCCATCCCCCACACCACAGCCCCCCATCCCCTGGTACAGACCCCAGTTACCCCCTGTAACAACCCCCCACTTCTCCCCCATTCACACACCCCCTGCCAGAGCCCCCCATAGCCCCCCCATACCCCCACAGGCAGCCCCACAACTCCCCAGTAGAAAACCCCACTACTCCCCACACCACATGCCCCAACATCCACTTGAAACCCCCCAAATCCCCATTTAACCCTATAGCCCCCCCCAATGTTCCCTGCCCCACTGGGAAGGGGGGGGCTGCCCCCACAGGGGCGGTGGCTCAGAGGGGTAGAGAATGGGGCCTGGCCCCTGTAGGGGGAGGGGGTGGCTCAGAGGGACAGGGTATGGGGCCCGAGGCCCGGCCCCTGTAAGGGGAGGGGGTGGCTCAGAGGGGCAGGGTATGGGGCCTGGCCCCTGTAGGGGGAGGGGGTGGCTCAGAGGGGCAGGGTATGGGGCCTGGGGCCTGGCCCCTGTAGGGAGAGGGGGTGGCTCAGAGGGGCAGGGTATGAGGCCCGAGGCCCGGCCCCTGCAGGGAGAGGGGGTGGCTCAGAGGGGCAGGGTATGGGGCCTGGGGCCCAGCCCCTGTAAGGGGAGGGGGTGGCTCAGAGGGGCAGGGTATGGGGCCCGAGGCCTGACCCCTGTAGGGAGAGGGGGTGGCTCAGAGGGGCAGGGAATGGGGCCCGGGTCCTGGGCCCTCTAGGGCGCCGGCCCTGCTCTGACCTGGCAGGACAGATGCTACAATTTGCTCAATATCAAACTGTTTTATTTACAAAACTGAAGGTTGTGGATGGGGGTCCCCAGCGCCCCCCCGAAGGGAGCGCACCCCCACCCCTTCATTTGGTTCACAGCAGCAGCAGGCGGGGGTGAGTCGTTGGGGGGGAAATGGGCTGGAGTGCCCCCCCAGTGCACATAGGGAAAGGAGGGGGGCAGAGAGCTCCCACCCTATCCCCACCCCCGGAGTATGGGGGGGCAGCCCAGCTCCTCTGCCCCACCCCTGGAGTCAGCAGTGGGGGGGGGGGGGCTAGGCCTGCACCCTCAGCTCAGGCCTGGTACCTGGGGCGTTCCTTGGAGCGCAGGGGGTCCCGTCCAGAGCAGCGCTGGAGTGTGGGAGCCCAAGAAGGGCTGGGGGAGGGGGACAGGAGACACCCCCTTCTCCTCAGGCCACAGGATACAGACAGCAGCAAACGCCCTCCAGCATAAACCACTACAAACCGGTCCCCGGGGGTGGGGGCTGGGGGAGGGGCAGCCAGGCTCTCGGGGGGGACCCCCCTCCTCGCCCTAACTGGGAGCCACAGAGAGAAAAGCACCAAGGGGCTCCCAGGAAATCCCGGACCACGGCCGGGGGCTCAGGCCCCCACCTCCCTGCCTGCCGGGCCGCCCTGGGGCCCCGGCTCTCGCCTCTGGGGGGTTTCCACTGGGGCCCGACCCCCCTGGCCGGGCGTGGTCTCCAAGGCAGCTGTGGTGGGACTCTTGAGGGTGGGCGTGGCTAGGCCCGTGGCAGCCCCCGAGTGCGGCGTCCGCTCCAGCTTGCGGTGCTTGTGGGGCGAGGGCGGGGCGGTGGGCGGCGTGGGCT